CTAGGCTTCAGGATTTGATGGAATACAGATTGAAATCTCTCAATAAACTGATGCAGCACTGGAGGCACTCACTCAATTATGCCAAGAAATTTGGAAGACAACTATCTGTCTGACTGATTGGAAGAGATCCATATTTGTGCCCATTCCAAAGAGAAGTGACCCAACGGAATGCAGAAATCATCAAACAATATTATTAATATCACATGCAAGTAAAATTTTGCTAAAGATAATTCAAAAATGGCTGCAACGGTACATTGACAGGGAACCGCCAGAGGTTCAAGCAAGACTCAACCAAGGATGTGGAACAAGGAATATCATTGCTGACGTTAGATGGATCTTGGCTGAAAGCAGAGAATACCAGAAAGATATTTTCTTGTGCTTTATTGACTATGCAAAGGCTTATGACTGTGTGGATCATGACCAGTTATGGACAACATTGTGGAGAATGAGTACTCCAGAACACTTAATTGTGCTTATGAAGAACCTGTATGTAGACCAAGAGGCCACCGTTCTACTAGAACAAGGGGCAATGAATGAGTTAAAATCAGGAAAAGTGTACACCAGGGTTATATTCTTTCACCATACTTATTCAGTATGTATGCAGAACAAATAATCCAAAACACTGGATTATATGAAAATGAACATGGCATCAGAATTGGAGAAAGACTCATTAACAACCTGCAAAATACAGGTGATCCAACCTTGTTTGCTGAAAACAAAAAGGATTTAAAATGCTTCCTGATGAAGAGCTAAGACCACAGCATTCAGTATAGGTTGCACCTCAATGTAAAGAAAACAAAATTCCTTACCACTGGGCCAATAAATAATATCATGATAAATGGGGAAAAGATTGAAGTTGTCAAAGTCTTCGCTTTACTTGAATCCACCAACACTCAAGGAAACAGCAGTCAAGAAATTAAATGATATACTGCATTAGGCAAATCTGTTGTACAAAATCTCTTTAAAGTGTTCAAGATCAAGGATGTCAGTTTGAGGACTAAGGTGTGTCTGACCCAAGCCATGATATTTTCAATATTCTCATTTGCATGTGAAAGTTGGGCAATGAATAAGGAAGACCGTAGAATTGATGCATTTGAGTTATGGTGTTGGAGAAAAATATTAAAGGCACCATGGACTACCAGAAGGACAAATTTGTGTTGGAAGAAGTGTAACCAGAATTCTTCTTAGAAGCAAGATGGCTAGACTTCGTCTTTCATACTTCTGACATGTTATCCGAAGGGACCAGTCCCTGGAAAAGGACATCATGCTTGGTTAAGTGGAGGGTCAGCAAAAACGAGAGAGACCCCAATGAGATGGATTGGCACAGTGGCAGCAGCAATGGGCTTAAGCGTAGAGCAATTGTGAGGAGTACACACAGTCACTATACCAAAAGGAAATGGTTCCTGTTCAACTGTTTCAAGAGGTAGCATATGATCAAGAGCCAATGATCCTGAAGGAGGAAGTCCAAGGTGCATTGAAGGAATTGGCAAAGAACAAGGCACCAAGCATTGATGGAATCAAAATTGAAATCTTTCAAGAAAGTGAGGCGGCACAGGAAGCACTCACTCATAATGCCAAGATGGCCAAACTTTGTCTCTCATACTTCAGACATATTGTCAGGTGGGACCAGTTTCTGGAGAAGAATATCATGTTTGGTAAGGTAGAGAAAAAGAGGAAGACCCCCCCCAATGCGATGGATTGGCCAAGTGGCTGCATCAATGGACTCAAGTATGGCAACAGTTATGAGGTTGGCCCAGGATCGGGCAGTGTTTCGTTCTGCTGTGCATAAGGTCGCTATGGGTCAGTACTCGATGGCACCTAATAACAACAACAATTGTGAGGATAACGTAGGACCAGGCAGTGTTTCATTCTGTTGTAAGATTACTTGATGACACCTAACAACAACAAAGGAAAGGAGGACATGCTCAAGATTCCTAAATTGAAAGGTTTGACCAAAAAAATTCAAGCTTCGTGTTGCAATATTAAAGGATTCTATGGGGAAAAAAGTATTGAATGGCACTGGTAACATCAAAAGAAGATGAAAAGAATATACAGAGTCACTGTACCAAAATGATTTGGTTGAGGTTCAATCATTTCAAAAGGTAGCATAAGATCAAGAACCGATGGTATTGAAGAAAGACGTCCAGGCACTGAAATTGGCAAAAAAATAAGGCTTCAGGATTTGACAGGATACAAATTGAAAATTTTCAGTAAACCGATGCAGGACTGGAGGCTCTCATTAGTCTATGTCAAGACATTTGGAAGACAGCTACCTAGCCAACTGATTGTAAGAGATCCATATTTGCACCCATTCCAACGAAATGTAATGCAGAAATCATCTAACAGCAGCATTCATATCACATGCAAGTAAAATTTTGCTGAAGATAATTCAAAAATGATTGCAGTAGTACATCAGCAGGGAACTGCCAAAAATTCAAGCCCAATTCAGAAGAGGATGTGTGGAATGAGGGATAGATATCATTGCTAAAGTTAGATGGATCTTGACCAAAAGCAGAGAACACCAAAAAAAAAATTTCCTTGTGCTTTACTGACTATGCAAAGGCATTCGATTATGTGAATCAAAGAGTTACATTAGGCAAATCTGCTGCAAAAGATCTCTTTAAAGTGTTGAAGAGCAAAGATGTCATTTTGAGGACTAATGTGTACCTGACACAAGCCATGGTATTTTCAATTGCCTCATGCATGTGGATGTTGGACAATGAGTAAGGAAGACCATAGACGAATTGATGTATTTGAATTACGATGTTGGAGAAGATTATTGAAAGTACCATGGGCTGCCAGAAGGACAAACAAATCTGTCTTAGAAGAAATACAGCCAGAATGCTTCTTAAAAGCAAAGATAGCAAGACATTGTCTCTTGTACTTTGAACATATTATCAAAAGGGAGTCCCTGGAGAAGGACATCATGTTTGGAAAAGTGGAGGGTCACTGAAAAAGAGAAAGACCTCCAACAAGATGGATTGACACAGTGGCAGCAACATTGGGCTCAAACATTAACAATTTTAAAGATGACACAGGACAGAAGAGTGTTTCATTCTGTTGTGCATAGGGGCACTATGACAGCACTTAATGACAACAAGAAGTAAACAAAGCTCAGCGTTACCTACTACCACCAAGAAAGAAAAGTCAGGAGTGGGGTGTGTCCTTTAAACTGGGGGGTCCCGCACTGTAAAGGTCCTAGATCCAGGGAAAAGATTGATGCCAAGACACATGAAGCGCTCCAAGGAATTCTGGGCTAAAAGGATACCTTTCTCCCAAGTCAGCACCTGGAATTCAGACTTCAAGCCTCCTAAATTATGAGAGGATAAATTTGTTTGTTAAAGCCATCCAGTTGGAAATCTGTTATAGCAACACTAGCTAACTAAAACAGGTATCTACCAAGGAGAGGAACGTAACCAGCATAGAAGACTGAATCTACAGGGGAGAGAAAGAAAGGGGAAGGAGACAAAGTGGAGTCCCCCGGGGAAGCAGAAATGCACTTTTGCCAGGGAGCCCAAGAGCACTCTTGAAATGACTGTTCTGTGGCAATGGGAAGGGTAGAGAGCAGTGTGGAAGACCGTGGCTTTGCAATGGTGGTTTGTGTTCACCTTGGATTAGCTATGTGAACTCAGAGTGCTCAGGGTTGGAGGGAGAGAGACAGAGATTTGAGATGGTCATTGCAGAGGCTGACAAGCAGAGAAATGACAAGGGAAGAATGAAGATTGGAGTCCACAATGTGTCCAGGCACAGCCTTTTTTTTTTCTTCTCTTTTTTTAAGTTTTTACTGTGAATTAAGTGATAGTTTACATGAGAGAACATCGGTTTTACACTCACCCTATTGTATTTCGTTTCATTGCAATGATTCTGATCCCCTCCATGAATCATCATTCAACAGTATTTGCTTCTATTCCCTGTTTTTTGTTTTTATTTTTTTCTGAATGTACACAAAAATACTCAGGAATAAATAAACATTTAAATAACCAAAAGACACATTCTGCAAGCCTGCCTCCTGGCTGCCAGCACACAGCCTTTCTCTTTCCATGAATCTAGAGTCCACAGCTGCTCTATCTTTCTATGTCCTCATCTCTATCTCCCTGTCTGGTGTCACTGTTTCCCACATTCCAATAGGATCCCACATTCCAATCATGCTCTTCTCCCTTCATGGTCCTAGTAGGGTCTTCTGTTTCTGGATTGTAAGATTAACTACTCCCCTCTTTTTGTTACAAAATTTCTACCTTTACTGTTGTGGCAATCACAATTAGTCATGATAACAATTACTCACTATTGAGTTATAAGAATCTTATCCCCATCTCCTTTTACCAGGCCCATCTAAACAAGATGAAAACTATTCACCGGGGGGTCCAAGCACACTCTTTAGGGTTGTATGATTTCACCACAGAACAGATACTTGATGTAAGTTCCAGAGAGTAGGAATTTGGGGACTCAGTGGTGATTTCTGGGCTATGAGCTCCCCACAGAGAGGTCTGCTGGACAAGAACCACATGATAGGAGAAGTCACCATCCAAGTTCTTCCCTAGAAAGAGAAACGTAGAGCTCAGAGTGGTCTCAAGCTGAGTCTTGACCCCATTCCAAGCCCAGACACCCCCACAGTGTAGCCTAGTCATGCACTAAGCCCGGACCCCCACGGCAAAGTAATTGCAGCTCTAACTCAAGTTCCACTGCCCCTAGACCAGAGTTGTAGGCCAAGTTTAGGACATACAGTTCCTGCATCTCCAGCAGGGGGCCGGCAGACGTCATGGGTCTCAGAGCTGCTGACTGTATAGTTAGGTTCCTCCTCACTGTGCTACCAACTCACAAGCTGCAACTCTGTACAAGAGCCCCTTGCACCCTGTGCCCTAATGGAACAGGCTCCGAGCCCTGCCCAGACCTGTTCCAGATTCTGTCACTACTCTTCCCCGAGGCTGCCTCCACCCACTGTCTTGGGAAGGGCTTCCTAAGACTCAGTTGGGAAGGCTGGCAGGCAGGAGGCTGGGGTGGCCATGGATCCCGAGGTAGGACCCATGCACTATCAGGAGCTGCTGCTTTGGGAGGCAGATTTGGATTCTGAGGAGGAAGATGGGGAGACCTCAGAGCCACTGGTTCCTCACCCCTGGAGGCCTCCGGACTCATCTGGGTGAGTTGGAGAAGGCTCTGGATATCTGCTCTTCAGATCTGAAGCAGAGAAGTCCCCCTCTCTGGAGCCCTGGGTGCTGGCAGGGGAAGGGAGGGGGGGATACTGGGGAGGAGATAAGGACTGGCAACTCCATGGCTACTCACTCAGCTCCAGAAACTTTCTGGTTGAATGGGAGAAAACTAGGCTACAGACTCATAAAGGTACGTGAGACTGAAGGGACATTTGTACCAAGCCAGCTCCGCCACTGCCCAGTCCTAGGGCCCCAGCCCCCACCCTGTGGGACAGGAGGCACCTGCTAAACAGGTTGGAGCTGAGTTCCACCTAGCTGCGCACTGCTCTGCTGTGCATGGGCCTCAACCTCTTCTCTCTTTCTGCCAAGTCGCCCATGGGCCTTTACTCTGCTGATTCCATCCTGCCCCTCCAGTGACTCCCTCCCTCTATCCCTAGCTGTCCTCAGTTTCCCCAAGCACTCTGTCTCCAGGTCTTTGTCTAGGCTGTGCTGGGAACCCTTTTCTCCCTGGCAAACATGTTCTCCTCTTGAAGACTAAATCTCATCGGGAGACCTTCCCTGACTTCTCTTGGGACTCAGGTGTCCCCCAAACCCTGGCTCAGGACACCCCTCTCTGCAGGAACAAGGTTGGTGGCCTTCTAGGAGCCTGGGCCCGACTGTTTGCAGCTCTCCTGCTGCTGGCAGTTGGCTTCTCCCTGGCTGTAAGGCAATTCCAGATGAGAGGGGGCTCTACTGGAAGTTTGGGCTCCGTGGTCCCTCCACCCACTGGACACTCCCATCACCCAGGTGTATACCACCATGGTGCTATCATCAGCCCTGCCGGTCAGTGCTGGGGCAGCTCAGGGCGGGAGGAGGTCAAGGGCCCCGGTCTCAGACCCTATGTGTAACGGCCCCTTCTTTGGTGCAGCCTCATGCTCCAGCCTGGGCCGAGAGCTGCTTGTGGCTGGAGGCAATGTCGTGGATGCCGGAGTTGGAGCAGCTTTATGTCTCTCAGTGGTGCATCCTCACAGCACAGGGCTAGGTCAGTGACCATGACCCTAGAGAATGCTTCCAACCCTGTACCTGGTCAGTGACCTGGACCTCAGGCTGGTCTGGGAGTAAGATCTAGAATTTGGAGAGTGATTCTGATTCCCCTGTTTCCAGGATTGGTCAGTCAGCTCACTCTCTAGCAAATGAATGATCCTGTCCCTAGTCAGCGTTGAGGGTCCCTATCCCCTGTCTAGCTAGTGTCCCTGACATCTGTGTGACCCCTTTGTCTCCCCCCAGGTGCCATGTTCTGGGGCCTATTCTACAATAGCTCCTCAGGAAATGCAACAGCCCTGACCTCGGGCTCAGTCCAGACCTTGGCTCCGGGGCTGGGACTGCCCACAGCTCTGCCTGCCCTGCACTTACTGCACACGCATTTTGGCATCCTGCCCTGGCCACACCTACTGGAAGGCCCCACCACACTGGCTCGGGAGGGCTTCCTAGTGGATGCACCCCTAGCAAGGGCACTAGCAGCCCACGGCACAAAAGACCTCTGCCCATTGCTTTGCCACGCTGACGGGACACCACTGGGTCCTGGAACGCATGCTGCCAACCCCAAATTGGCAGATGTGCTCCAAAGGGCAGCACTCAGCCCCACCCTCACTGGGAACGTCCTCTGGAGTCTGGTGGCCAATGACCTGGGGCTGGAGGCCCCCTCAGCTGAGCCCATGCCCACCTTGGAGCCAGCACTGCAGCTGTCTTTGCCCCAGGGCATTCTGTTTTCCACCCCTGGCCCATCCGCTGGCCCAGAACTGCTGGACCTGCTGAAGGCAGCCCTACACTCTGGAAGGTCCAACTCTGATCCTTGCCCACCACCTCCACAAATTCCCGGGAGCCCTGTGAGCAGTGTCCTGGCCACCATCGACAGCAGCGGCTCGGTGCTCCTCCTCATCTCCTCACTCAACAGCTCCTTCGGCTCTGGGCGGCTGTCCCCCAGCACCGGGGTTCTGCTCAGCAAGCTAGTGGCCAGCTCTGCAACGAGCACCTGGGCCTGCCCCCTCATTCTGTGCAGCAGCCCCAATGACACAGAGGCTGACGTGTTAGGGCTGGTAGTTTCAGGGGCCCCCTCAGTGGCCAGAGCCACGACTAATGCCCTGCTTAGACACCTGGTCGCACCCCAAACACAGCCCCGTCACCAGCATCAGCACCAGCACCAGCAAGGGCCAATAGAGAACCCCAGCACTTGTGTTCAGGGGACCCTGCTCCAGGTAACAGCCCACACAGAGCATGCCCATGTCTCCAGTGTCCCCCATGGCTGCTGCCCCTTCCAGGGCTTCTAACCAGGGAGGGTCTGGTAGGAGTGAAGTCTCAACTGGGGGTGGGGGCAGGCAGGTCCAAGGCAATGCAGGCATAAAAAATGCATGTCTATTACAGGCTCATTGCTGGCTCTGGTCCTCAGCCTCTGACCTGGTTGGTTATTAGGACTTGAGTTCTGGAGTACAGGGCTAGCTCAATCAATCGTCAAAGCATCCCTGCTGGATAGATTCTCCAGCTCCTTTTTCAGTGAAGGCAACTGAGATTAACAATGAAAGAGTAATTTGGTCTGGAATTGAGTTTAGACCCAGTCTTGAGAAAGCCTGGTGAGAATGTGCCAAGTCTCTGCCCAGGCTCTGGACCCCATATGGCATCCTGGGGTGCTGCTGGACTCTCTGTCCTTTACTCAGGACTTTCTGGGCTTGCCCACTCCACTATGTTTTCTGTGGGCCCCTCTCCTGGACACCCAAACCACCTTTTGCTGGTCTCTTACAGCAGAGTAGGAATCGAAATATAGATCAAACCTTTTCACTTAAAAACAGTTAGCCCAATGGACTAATGGACCACATGAACATCAGTATCTCTACAACCCTAAGACCAGAACTAGATAGGGCCTGAAAGGTCCTGGATAGAGTGGGAGAAAATGTGGAACAAAACTTAAAACCATAAAGAAGATCAGTATTATTGGTCAGATAGACTGGTGAAATCCCAAGACTATGGCCCTCTGGAACTGAACTCACCCCCATGGCTCAAATTTCAGCCAAGCAAAAGATAGGTATACAGATGGTACCAACACTAGTGAGGTCCACACACCTTCCAATGGTCAACCACTGGAGATTCAAAGGGCAGCATCTATATAAGAACAAAGCTCAGAAGGTTGGGAAAGAAGGAGGAATGGAGACAAGAATTGTAGGGAGGATGTGGCATAAGTGATGTTCATTACGGGAACTGTAATCATTGAGTTGAAATGAAGTGTGGGATTTGTTGAATGTCAAACTGATGATCTGCTCTATAAACCTTCACTCAATTCACAATAAAAAGTTAGATAAATAAATAAATAAAGATGAAGTCTTTTGCTAGCTCTTGGTCCATTTCTCATGAGCCTTTTAGGCAGCTGGTGCCAGTCTCCCACCACCCAGGCAACACAGGAGACACCCCCCCCCCCTGCCTCAAAGAGAGGCAGAGCCTGGCCTGTGGTCTTTTAGACTCTTCTTGCTTCCCCAGGCCACCATATGAGTACATTGAAGACCAGTTGCTGTCTAATGGATTTAGACTCATGGAGGACCCATATGTGTCAAAATACAACTGTGCTCCATCGGGTTTTCAATGACTGATTTTCCATCCGAGGTATCTCTCTAGGTAGTTAAAACACCAATCTTTCAGTTAGCAGCTGAGCACTCGAAGGCATTGCACCACCCAGGGACGCCATGCAGTGATAAATTTCACTTTCCCAAATAGACAACAAAACAAAGCAACGCAATGAGAGGATGAGTAGGAGATACCCCAGGGGCCTGCGTACAAAAGGGCCTTAGCTGGGAGTATGGAGATTGGCCCAGATCCTCCCACCCCTGAGGACTGGCGTCCTTCTGGCCCACAACTCTCTGGAGCCAGCATCTCAGGCCTTCTTCCCCAAGAAACAGGGTGGCCAGAACCCCCCTTTTACCTTCATTCATAAAAAGGCATTCCTGATTTTAATAAAACAAGATCTTAATTCTACACCCATGCTCCAAAAGTCTTGCCGAACTCAGTAAATTGTACTCAGTCATTTTGTTTCCTCTCCCTACCTTCCCAGTTCGTCATCCACCACTAAAAAAGCAAAAACGAGTTCAGGGTAGAACAGTGCTTCATGAGATTTTGTTTTTAATAATTTGGTTTCTTTGGTGTTGTTGTTATTGAAAATACACACAGTAGAACATACCTCAGTTCATCATTTTCCACATGTAAAATCCAATGATACTGATGACATTACATAACCCTTTGGATCCTTCTTTTCTTCACTGTTCCTTCTCCCTTAACATGAACTCAATGCCCACTAAAATTCCTATGTAATCTTTCCAGTTACTGTTGTTAATTTGATCTCTTTACAAGTTCATAGGGGGTTCAAGGACTCATCTTTGGGCAGCAGAAAGTTGGGTCTTTCATCTACAGTGTCTCTTGTTGTTGTTGTTATGTGCCATGGAGTTGGTTCTGACTTATAGCAACCCTGCATAGGGTTTCCGAGGCTATAAATCTTTATGGGAGCAGAGAGCCTCATCTTTCTCCGATGGGACAGCTGGTAGTTTCGAACTGCTGACCTTGCAGCTCGCAGCCCGATTCGTAACCACTATGCTACCAGAACTGGGTTGACTCAAATCAGCAATTGGTTAGTAAACGCATACCATCAAGTCATTTCCAACCCTATAGGACAGAGTAGAACTGCAATGTAAATTTTCCAAGGCTGTAATCTGTGGCACTGTAAAATAAGCGCTGGACAAGGTTCAAACCCACCAGCTGCTCCTCAGAAACACTAAACAGGGTCCCTATGAGTCAGAACCACTCGATGGCACTTAACAATTTAACAACAATCTTTATAGAAGCAGGTTGCCGCATCTTTCTCCTGTGGAGTGGTTGGTAGATTTGAGCTACCAACCTTTAGGTTAGCAGTCAAGTGCCACCAGGAATCCTTCTTGGTGGGAAGTCGAGTATTTACTCATTTGTGACACCTAGGGATTTCCATCCATGCTTTCGGTGCAGATTAACCCTGTAGGACAGAGTAGAGCTGACCCATAGTGTTTTCTAGACTGTAACCTGGATGGAAGCTGACTGCTCCATCTTCCTCCCACTGAGCAGCTGTTAGGTCTGAATCTTTTGGTTAGCCGTAGGGCACTATGACGTCTCACCCATGCCTACCTACCACCTTCCAATTACTCAGAATCTGACCTGTTCTCATATTTGTTGTTTTTGTTTGTTAAGTGCTGTTGAGTCAGCTCTGACTCGTAGTGACCTTGTATAAGGTTTCCAAGCAGTGACTGGTGAGTTTGAATAGCCAACTCTGGTTCAAGCCCACCTTGCGGTCCAGTGCTTTATTTCACAGTGCCACAATGTTCTCATATTATCCAGGCCCAATCTACTATTGTTTCTAACTGGTCTTCCTGTTTCTATCTTTGCCTTCCTACAGTCCATCTTCAGTGCTGCTTCAGGGATAATCTTTTCAAAATGTAAATCTCCTCTAATGACTTCCCATTACACTCAGGATCAAATCCAAACTCCTGATCCCAGCCTGAGGTCCTGCTAGATTTCTTCAACTTCACCCATGCAGCCTTGGGACTTTTGTAGGCGCTGTGTCTTCCCTTCTAACTTTCCACTGGGGGCTCCAAGTGTCTTCTCTTGGTGGATGTCTTCCTGGCCACCCTCTCCCATCAGTATCTTAGTACCTATTGAATTTCTATTTTTAATTGCAATGTTTTCAATAGTTGATGCATTTATGTGCTTCAACATTGGTTTGAATGTACACATTATTCAGCAATAGAGACATGTAGGAACCGGAAATGCACAGCAGTAAGTGAAAGAAGCCAGTCTGAGAAAGCGACATACTATGTTCCTCGAGTCATATGACCTTCTGGAAAAGAAAAAATTATAGAGGCAGTAAAAAGATGAATGTTTGCAAAGGGGATCAGAGGAAGGGTGGGGATGAATCGGTGGAAAACAGCAAATTTAATGAATTGCAATCATTCTGTATGATACTGTAATAATGGTGGACACATGACCTGCACTTGCCAAAACCAATGAGACTGAAAAATACAAACAGTGAACTCTAATATAATATTAACAAATGTATCATGGGAATAAAAGAGGATAATACGGGAAACAATGTTGTCACTGGTGGTGCTGTATGATAAGCATTGGACTGCTAATCACAGGGTCCCCGGTTCGAGCCCACCAGCAAGAGGAAGATGAGTTTCTCTGCTCCCATGAATATTTACAGTTTTGGATACCCTACACAGTGTCATTCTGAGTCGTAACCTACTCAATGGAACCTAACAATAAATACGATCTAAAAACATAAAGTCGTATTAAGTGCTGGGGAAAGTAATTGAAAATCTCCCCGTTAGCTCTTCCGTTTCCTTTACCATAATGATCTTTGAAAATGCATTTCGTTACTTGTTCATCCGTTTTCTCCTCCACTAGAAAGGAAATCGATGACAGCAGTGGCTTTGTGCCCACAATTTTAATATTGTGCCCAGCACACAGTAGGAGCTCAGTGATTGTAAGACAAGTGGCTAAATTTTCGGGGCGCAGGGATCACTCTGGGACTACATGGATCGATTTTCTTCTCTTGGATTCGTTTGCCGAGATGGGCTCTCAGATAAGTCAGCATTGGTGTCTCAGCTGCCCTGGGAGACTAGGTGGGAACGAGTTTGGAGAGACACCGCACCACGAGGTGACAGAGCAGAGACGGCCGCTCCGCCCCTGGCCCCGCCCCGGCCCCGGCCCCGGCCTTCACAGGCCTCGTCAGTTCTCGTCCTCACAGACCCAATCCAGTGCGCATGCGTCGGGACCTGACCTGGAAGAGGCAGTCTTCAGAGCTCACGTGTTCGTGGAGCATGGCGGAGATGGAGTGTTCCGAAATCGTTGAGCCCGTGTCTCCCGGAGAGGCGACCAAGAGCGGTGTCCCGTCTACCGATCGCCATGACTTGTTGCAGCACAGCCGCGAGTTCTTGGACTTCTTCTGGGACATTGCAAAGCCGGAGCAGGAGACGCGGTTGAAGGCCACGGAGAAGCTGCTGGAGTATCTGCGCACGCGGCCAAAGGTATGCTGCTGGGGCTCGGGGCCACGCGGATCTCCGGGCCGTGGGCGCGAGCCGACTCGTGTCACGGGTCCCACGACGTTCGTCCTTGGCTCTGCAGGGATCCGAGATGAATTATGCTCTGAAGCGGCTGATCACTGGACTCGGAGTGGGGCGAGAGACCGCCCGGCCCTGCTACAGCCTGGCCTTGGCACAGGTGAGGTGGTGGCTCCTATGGAGCCCAGAAAGGGTCAGATGCCTTAGCTGTCTGGATAGGGGTGTCAGAGACAGAGGTTGGGAAGGGGGTATCTAAAGTCCGCCTGGGGGATGAGGCACCACGTGGATCTAAGGAAAGGATGTGAGCAAAGACTTAGCTTCAAAGAAGCTCAAGGGAGAAGTTGAGCTTGTTTGCTTTTTGGGACACGGGTGGAGTGGCCCCTTGAGTACATTTAGTGGAAGAAATGAACTTTCGAGATTCAAGACATCCAGATGACTAAGCCATCCTCTAAGGAACCTAGATCTCTTGGTTTTAGGGGGAGGGTACTCAGAGAAGTCTTTGGGGAAATCTCAGTTAAGCAATGTAGAGATCAGGGGGAGTATTTTCTGAAGCCTGGAGTGGAGCAGGAAGGCAAGTCAAGGCTCCGCTCCCTGTGGTCAGCAGTATTCTATGTATGGAAGCCAAATGAACTACTTCAGAGGCATCCTTGGGCTGGTATCAGGGACCCAGAGCCTCTCAGCAGCCGTCTAAAGGAGAAGGGAAAAGAGATTGTGGTCTGTTACACTCTAAGCCCTCTCCCTCTTGGCAGCTGTTACAGTCTTTTGAAGACATCCCCTTATGTAGCATCCTAGAGCAAATCCAAGAAAAGTATGACCTGCAAAAGATGAAGAAGGTAAGACTGGGTGGCCCAGGGAGGCCAGCAACCTGGAGCGAGGAGGGAGGTGGATAGCAAAAGGGGGAAGAGGAACGCTGAACTCTTCTTACCTGTACCTAGGCGATGCTGAGACCTGCTCTCTTTGCACACCTTTTTGGGGTACTAGCCTTCTTTCAGTCAGGCCGGCTTGTGAAGGTAAGAACTTTGGACCAAAGGCCCTGTGGCATAATGCCTGGCTTGGGAGGAGCGGTGGGGGTCAGCAGCATGCCTTGCTCATACCGTCTGCTCCTCTGTGGATTCCAGGACCAGGAGGCACTGTTGAAGTCGGTGAAGCTGCTACAGGTCCTGGCCCAGCACCACAACCACTTACAGGAGCAGCCCCAGAAGGCCCTGGTGGACATCCTCTCTGAGGTATGGGCTCACTAGCTGTGGGACCTTGGGTAGTACTCCTACTCTAGAAATATTGAGACTGCTAAGCAGCACTGTGTGATAGAAATACACAGGGATGCTGCAGAGCATCATTTCAGTTTTTCTGGGAACTGCATCATGAAGCAAAAAGAAACATGTTTGGAATAAGTTTTAATGGTATATTTCTGTTAACTTTATGCATCTTAGAGTATGATTGTTCTAGGATGCAACAATCAATGTGAAAACCAAAAGATAGTTGAGATCTTTACGGTCCACTTGTCATAAATTCAGTGTATTTCACACCTGCAACACATCCCTCTTCCGATTCGTCACATTTCAAGTGTTTGCAGCCACCTGTGGTTGGCAGCCACCATACTGAACAGTGCAGCTCTAGAACAGTGCCTGGACTTGACAAGTACATACACGTTTGGCATCCTTGTGTGGGGCAAGGTTGGCCCCTTAAGAGCGAGCGTCCACTGCCCTCATTTGGGAAAGGAGGCAGGCTAACACCAAGAACCCCTTGCCACCTCTGGACTGAGCAGAGGCAAGAGGCTGTCATGGTTTCTGCGCATCCTAGCCTCAGAGCCGGAAAAACCTGGGTTCTAATCCCAGCTCTCCCATCTGTTTTCAGCTTAGGGCTTCTTATATAAGAAACAGGCTAGTTCTCTGAAGAATGTCTTGGGTGTTGCTCAGTTACTAACCAAAAGGTTGACAGTTCAAATCTTCTCAGAGGTGCCTTGAAAGAAAAGCTTGGCAGTGTGGTCTGAAAGATCACAGCCATTGGGGACCACATGGAGCCCAGTTCCCCTCTGAAACGGAGTCATTGAAGGGGTTGGCCCCAGGCCAGTTCATGTCCGCAGGATGCTTATTAAGATCCATCTTCCTGGGACTTCGGCATTTGGATTTCTGAAATACCCTGCAAGGTGGTTTGTGGCTGTTGCTATGCTGGGACCTTCGTGAGAGCCTGGCAGGTGGCACCATGGAGGGACCAGCACCCTCACTTAACCTGTCTCCCACCCCCAGGTCCCAGAGGCCATGTTAAAGGAAATCCTGCCCAAGGTGCTCAAAGCTGACTTGGGTGCTGTGCTCAGCTCCCCTGAGTTTCTGGGGCTCTTCCTCTTAGCCCAGCGGAAGGTGCCTGCAAAGCTCGAGAAACTGATGGGACAAGTTGACCTGTTCTCAGATGAGAATATTCCTAGGTGAGCAGAAGGTGGGGCCCGGAGCAGCCCCTGCCCATGGTCTGTTGGGCAGTGCCGCTGAGTCCCCTGTGCCCTCCTCCCCAGGCTAGTAGACGTGCTGAAGATAGTTGCTGCCTCTGTGAAGAAGGAGCGCAAGCTGCCTGCTGTGGCGTTGGACCTGCTACGCCTGGCACTTCAGGAGAACAAGTTCCCACGGTTCTGGAATGAGGTTCTGGAACAAGGACTGCTAAAGAAGCAGTTCCTACCGGCCAAGTGCGTACAGCACTGACCCTCTCTGGACTCCCTCTCCCTGTTTGCTAAGCTGGGGTGGGCCCGGTGGGGGGTGGGGGTGAAGGCTCTGAACGGGCTCTGTCCCACACCCCTTAGCTTCCTGTGTTTCCGCCTGCTGGGTGCATCCCTGCCTCTGCTATCTAAGAAACAGCTGCAGCTAGTGATGCGGGGAGACGTGATCCGGCTTTACGGGGAACATTTGGTTACTGCTAAGGTGCGTGCCCCCTCGTCTGGCTCAACACTGCCAGCAAGGGCTGGGAAACAGATAGGTTGCTGGCAAAAGGGCTGCTCTTGGCTCTGGCATCAAGGGGCTGCCTGCCTGCCTCAGTGATGCTAGCCTTGAATTAAGTAAGCATAGCTGCTGTTGGCAGGGGCCTGGGACCTAAGTGTCCCTTCCCTCTGGGTAAAATGAATGGGCTGAACCCCCTCACCTCTCCTCCTTTGAGTGAAGTTTTGTCAAAGGCCCTTCTCTGAAGGCCCCCCAACAGAGGAAGGTACAGACCACCCTTCACCCCTGGCTGGAGTTAGTATTGATCACAGTCATTACTGGTGGTGTTTTGAGCACTTGACATGTGCCTCAGGCTAGGTACTCAACCTGAGAATGATGTGGTAGAATCCTGCCTCCACCTCTTCCTAGCTGAGTGACTTTGCACATGTTGCCTGTTACTTTTTCTATAAAAGGAGACCACCAGTACTTTTATTTCCTCATCAGGTATTTGGGAAGATTGAGTGGATCCTTAAAACAGTGTGTGGTCTATGCAGTAAGCGCTATTGCGTTTGCTCTTGTCTCGTTTAATCACAACTTGTTTCAGATTGCTGCCATTCCCATTCCATGGCCAGAGAGAGGGCTCAGAATGTATTGGGCTGTGTAGTTAAGGGCCTGGTGGGCAGCAGAACCGGCTGGGTCCACAACCTACAAGATCTCTGATCCTGAGAGTTCCTTCCTGGCTCTTTTTGTGCCTCATCTCTTTCTCTATGAGATGGCAGTAGGAGTGGTCACGCTCAAAGGGTTGTTAAGATTTGAAAAGACCACTGTGTGAAAGCATGCAGCTTGGTGCCAGCACAGTGTGGTGTTAGTGTTTGAGTCCCAGGATGACACAGTGCTGGCAGATGGCAGGTCGATTTGATGGGCCCGACTGCTGCTCCTATGCCTCAGGCCAGGAAAAGTGCCTGGCTGGCTCCCAGGAGAGGTGGGAAGGAGGGGTCTTCTGAGTCAGAGGTGTGGAGGCTGGAGGGGGCAGATGTGCTAGAACAATAGGGAACTTCTGCAAGACAGTGGGGTGGAGAGGATTCTAGGCTCAGCTAGGCTGGGTGCTCAGGATGGGGCCTTGCTGAGCCTTGGTTCAGCCTATTGCAGAAGAGACTGATGGGGCTGAGCTCTGGGCAGGCAGTCCCACAGCTGGACCTTCTACTAGCATAACCCTGCCCCTTGCAGCTCCCGGCCCAGTTCAAGTTTGCCCCAGAGATGGATGAGTATGTGAATGCTTTCCTGGAGGGCTGCCGGGATGACCCTGAGCAGCAGCTAGCCATGCTAGTGGCCTTCTCCTCCGTCACCAACCAGGGCCACCCTGTGGTGCCCACTTTCTGGAGGGTTGTGCAGTTGCTGAATCCCAGCGCCCTCAAGAGCTACGTGACCTGGCTGCAGGACATGTTTCTGCAGCCCAAGCTGGAGTCTCTGGTTGACTTCAGCACCAGCAACCAGAAGAAGAACCAGGATGCTTCCACCCATGTGTGAGTGGGCTAGCGGGAAAGGCCTACAGAGCCAGAAGGCCTGACTTCTCCCTCCCAGGATGTTGGGGTTGCACACCATGGGACGGGACAGGAGGCCAGTGATCTCTGGTGTCCTGTCTCTAAGATGGGTCAGCAGGTGCCTTGTATTACTCCTTCTAAATGACCTTCTACCCCCAGGCCTGAGCGGGCTGTGTTCCGGCTGCGGAAGTGGATCGTCCTTCGCCTGGTCAGCATTGTGGACAACTCCCAGGTGGAGAAGGAGGAGGCCATGGTTGAGGAGATAGCCAGGTGTGTGATATGCCGAGCACCACTCCCAACAGGAAGTGGGACGGCTACCTTGTCCTAGTTTGGACCCCCTTGGGCTCAGGGGATTTGGAGAAACTCCCCAGGCCTGTAAGGAAAGTGTGGGGCCCATGGTCCGAGAAAGCTCCCGTAAGCTCTGTCACATAGGCAACCTTTTCCTAACACCTTTATTTGTGCTGTGCCAGGCACCCATTGAATCCTCACCTGTCCCTAGAGGGTGCCTCTTTCTGCAGAAGCAAAGGTGTGACTTTGCGCGGACCACATACCCTTGTTTCCAGATAAGGCCTCTGTTCTCTGCCTAACTCTGGCTGAGCCAGGTTCACACTGGAGCAATGCGCCTTTCTTTCATCACCTGGCTGCCTCAGGCCCCTGTATGTTGTGCCCAGAGCAGAGCAGCTTCCTCTCCTGGCAGCATGTCCAGTGGTACCATCCAAGGAGAGGGACCTGGGGAATGGATGACACTGTCCGAGGCTCAAGCTGATGGCCTTCCATCTCCCAGGTTCTGTTTGTTCCATTCGTTCTTTGAAACCAAGAAGCCCACATCCCAGATCCCTGAGACACAGCACCGTCCCTCCTTCCCCTTGGAGAGCCGCACCCGAGAGGTGGTCTGCAGTGCCTTCTTCAGGTAGGCGTGGGCAGCTGGGGAGGTAGTCTTTAAGAACTGCAGCAGACCGCTGAGTTGCAGTAGGTCAATGGAGGAGGGGCAGGCACCTGGTAACCCAGTCCCCCCGCCCCCCTTTCATCCAGTCTGCTGCAGGCTCTCAGCACACAGGTCAAGCAGGTACCAGGCCAGACCTCAGGCAGGCAGTCGTGGACCAACCGCCTGGTGCAGTTCACAGACACACTGCTGAACCAAAACCACAACGTGGCTCCCGTGACACCCTTCACTGTGCAGCAGCGCCAAGCCTGGGACCGGTGAGTTAGGGACAGAGGGGCGTTTCCATGGGGTGGGTGGGACTCTCAGGTCTGCCGTTGGCCGCAGTGCCCTGAGAACACGCCCACCTCCTCCTAGGATGCTGCAGACTCTGAAGGCACTGGAGACTCGCTCTGCAGAGGTCAAGGCCATGGCCTTCCAGCACCTGCTGCTCCTGGTGGGCATCCACCTCTTGAAGGTATGGTGGCCTGAAGGACGCAGGGTTGCTGTAATTGGAAGGTTTCCTGTCTGACCCAGGCAAGGAGAAACTACTCCCTCCCCGGACCGGCGCTTGGCAGGCAGCACCTGCTCTTAGTGATACCCCACAGCTGTGAGGCTGACACTTCTTTCCCGAGCTTAGTGGGTGGAGAAAAAGACCCAGAGAGGTCAAGCAGCTTTATAGGCTGCACAGTTCTTAGCTGGGATTGAAACGTAGAGATCGGAGTCTGCTGTCCCACGGAACCTCCCCCGTGGGCTTTACCAACCCAAGGGGCTGGCTGCCGTGTGTGGTTCCTGGAGCTGCCATTGCAGTACACAGATTGGCTGCAAACAGCAGAAACGTGTCATGTCCCTGCTAGAGGCCACATCCTATGCTGCACCCTAGACCTGATTTTTACATTTTAGCATCTCTGTTAGAGGTAAAGGGGCTATCCAGCCAAGGCAGCTAGCTGGTCATTGTAGTGTTGTAGGCCTCTGGCACCAGCTGCTTTCACTTGCCTCGTCCCCTGCCTGGCTCAGCACAGCCTAGAAGGGGGACCTGGCCCTTGATTCCCACCCTGCCTGTCCACAGTCCCCTGCAGAGAGCTGCGACCTCCTTGGGGACATCCAGACCTGCATCGAGAAGAGCCTGGACGCAAAGCCCCGCCGGACCCGCTCCAAGGCTGTTGGTGAGTCCTCACCCCTGGGATGGGGGTGGGGGGGCAACTGTGTCCCCTGCACACAGGGACCTGGTATAGAGCTGGGCTCAGCCCCCTTCTTCCTTGCAGACTCCCAGGAGCCGCCATGGGTGGAGGTCCTGGTGGAGATCCTGCTGTCCTTGTTGGCCCAGCCCAGCCACCTGATGCGCCAGGTGGCCCGCAGCGTGTTCGGCCATGTCTGCTCCCATTTGACTCCACGTGCTCTCCAGCTAATCCTGGACGTGAGTTGGGATCTTGGAGCACTAGGCTGGATCAGCCGACCACACCCCAGTTCTGCAGAGAGGGCACGATTTCTCTACTTAGAGAAACAGGCCTCAGGGGTGGTGGAGTTTTCAGCCCTCAAAGTCTGTTTCTGGGGGCAGGTAGAGGGGGAGTCCTGAGAAGAGGTCACAGGCCTCCAGAGCTTCAGGAAGCAGGCAGCTAGGCTAAGGCAGGCTCTGGGACGGGCTTCTTCCCTGAAATAGAAGCCCATGGCAGAGGCCAGTCAGGGATGTGGCCAAGAGGGCCCAGTGGTTTGAGGGGCAGACAGCAGATGGTTACCAATGTGGACGTCTTCCCCAGGTGCTGAATCCTGATAAGAACCAGGACGAGGACGACAATGTGATTGTCACAGATGACTCTGAGGACGAGCCACAGAAGACAAAGGCTGAAAAGGTGCAGTGAGGGGCCAGCAGTGGCGGGGAGGGGAGAGCGAGGCGAGCCTCAGGGAGGCCTGACACACCTACCACCCACAGAACAAAGACAGGGACACTTCAGACAGCGAGGAGGACGAGGAGGATGGGAGCGATGAGGAGGACGAGGAGGAGAGTGATGAAGAGGCACGGGACAGGGACGTGGACCAGGGCTTTCGGGAGCAGCTGATGGCGGTGCTGCAAGCAGGGAAGGCGCTGGTGAGCAGGAACCGGACAAGGAGCTTCCTGGAGGGCCTGTCTGTCAGCCCACCCACAGGGCACCGGTCTCATGGCTGGGCATCTGTCCCTCAGGGCGGAGTGGACTGCGAGGACGAGGAAGAAGAGGAGCTGGGAGACGAGGCCATGATGGCCCTGGACCAGAACCTCGCGAGCCTCTTTGCCGAGCAGAAGCTGCGCATGCAGGCAAAGCAGCAGGAGGAGAACAAGCTGCAGAAGGAGAAGGCGCTCCGGCGGGACTTCCAGATCAGAGTGAGCCTAGAGCTGCCCAGTGTCCACCCAGCCCCTGCCTTCCTGCCTGTGAACCTGCCTCAGCACTGCACTTAGCCCGCCCTTCCTACCACAGGTGCTGGACCTGGTGGAGGTGTTGGTGACCAAGCAGCCTGAGAACCCTCTGGTCCTGGAGCTACTCGAGCCGCTGCTGACCATCATCCGACGCAGCATGCGCACCAGCAGCTCCAAGCAAGAGCAGGACCTCCTGCACAAGACGGCCCGCATCTTCACGTGAGCGCGGCCCGTCACTCAGTCACGCACACGCTGCCCACCCATTCCCCTGACGCCTCTCTAATGGAGGCCCGGCGTCCACCGATAGGAGACAGTGGTACTACTGGGGATACATAGCCAGTATTGAGGTTCCTGGGAAGGCCCCCAGAGGAGTGACGGCAGGGCCAGACGGTGGACGGTTGTTGGTCAGGCCAGGAGGGTACAGGCAGAGCAGAAAGGGGCCATCTCCAATAGGGGCCAGTCAGGAGCACTGGACGGCAGGCCAGTAAGGTGGCAGGAGAGGCCTTGTGCTCACTGGCCCTGACAGCCCTTGGGAGCCCCAGAGGCCTTGTCAGCAAACACTTGCATGTGGGGCCCGGGGCTAATCTACCTATTCAACCACAGGCTACTGTGTGGGGAGAAGGATTTGGAAGGGAAACCCAGCCAGGGGGTGACTGTAGGCATCTGGAGAGAGACAAGGCAGGAAGCCGACCCAGACCTCGGGTGGTGGGGGACACAAAGGCCTAGATGCCACCAACGCATTTATAGGAAGCATTAGGGGGTGGTATGTGGTTGGCAGTGTTGACCCCAACACTTCATCTGTGCCCACTCCTAATGACACTCTCAAATACTCCTCCCCAACGTCTGTTTTGTCAAAATCCAGTTTGCAAGAGTTTTTCTTCATCCCCTTTTCCCCCAGCCCCAAAGGACCCCTCGGGGTTTAGGGCACACAGGGCTCAAAGACCACTAACTCAAGAGAGGCAGGTTCAGGTGAGAGGTCTGGACTGATGGAGGACTTTTAGCCCATGATTTAGCTTGAACCCATGCAGCCCTTTTTCTCTCAGTTTGCCCACACGATCTCAGAGCATATCCGCAGGCCTTCGTCGGCCACCTTAGGGTTTCTTGTTTTCTCATCTGTGATAAGGAGTTGAGGTTCCCAACACCTCAGGGTTACCTGTCTGGACATTTCTGAGCCGCTCTGCCCTCTTCCCCCCCCAGGCACCACCTATGCCGTGCCCGTCATTACTGCCATGATGTCGGCAACCACGTGGAGGCGCTGCATGCCCAGGTGGAGCGGCTGGTGCAGCAAGCTGGCCGCCAGGCCGACTCCTCCATTGCCTTCTACTATTTCAACGCCTCCCTCTACCTGCTCCGGGTTTTGAAGGGTAACACAGCCAGCGTGCTGCCTGTCAAGACCCCAAAGAAGCAGAAAGCCAGCACCAAGGCCACAAGCCCCGAGGTGAGCAGGCCTGGCCAGGAGAGCTGGAGGAAGAATGGGTCCAGGCAGCCCTAGCCAACAGGCCTAGCTCCGTGTGCCCATTTCACAAATGGTGAATCGAGATTGTGACTTTGCCAGGGCCTTCTAAAGGCAGCCCAGGCTCTGCTGTGTACCAGGGACCCCACATCAACTCTTTCTCACCTGACCTAGGCAACCAGCTGCTTGGATTTGGAACGTGTGACGGTGGTGTACTCAGCAGCACTGAGCTCCTTCCTGACCAAGCGGAACAGTTCACTCACCGTCCCCATGTTCCTCAGCCTCTTCTGCCGGCATCCGGTGAGTGTGGGGGCCAGCCCTGCCCCTGGGGCCTACCTAGTGCAGCCCCCCTTACTACCCTATCACCTCCCCCCCAGGTACTCTGTAAGAACCTGCTATCCATCATGGTCCAGCATGTGACGGGCCCAGTGCGGCCCCGCCAGCAGGTAAGGGGCTTTCTGGCCCTAATCCAGGCCAAGAGGTTGAGGATGTGGGATCACCCCTTCCCTCCTGACCTTGTGTGCTCCCTGTAGGGGCTGGTGGCACTGCTTAGGTATAAGAGTGGCTGAGAGGGAGGTAGGTCCTTCTAGCTCCTACCCAGGAGGCCCCTGGCTATGTCTGCTCTGGTGTGGGAGTGGGACAAGGAGGGAAGGGAGGCTGGAGGAAGATGGCGCTGAGCTGTTAAGGGAACCCAGTTCCCACCTCTGCAGTGGGAGCCCGTGCATCTCTCGGAGCCCTGGCACAGAAGAGGGGACAGGGTAGATGGTTGCTGAGCCCAGAACATCAGGGACAACCTAGGCAGGCTGGACCCAGAGCAGCAGGCTACCCTCAGCCACGGCCTGGAGGTGTCCTGGCCTTGTTAAGTGCCTACCAGCTCTGAGGTTCCCCCCAGTGGCTCCCTAAGTCTTGGCTTTCCTTGCTGAGACGTCTAGTGACAACACCCCCTAACCCCCACCCCCACCCCAGGCCCAGGACTGCCTGCTGCTCCAGAAGTCCCTATCCATGGGGGAGCTGAAACAATTGTTCACGGACTCGGAGTGGGAGCAGCTGATCAGCCAGGTCCTGGCGAAGGTCACAGAGGTAACTGGGAGGGGTTCTTTAGGGTCTAGGGGACAGGAAGGCGTGTCTCCTTCATGGTGCCAGTCCCCGCGTGGGGAAGAAGAGGAAGCACCTCCTCACCTTGCTGCCTTCTCCCTAGAACCTGCGGGCACTGGGGACAGCACAGACCAAGCCTGAACAGCAGTTGGAGCTGTCCTCCTTGGAGTTACTGATTACTCTCCTCAAGACCACCCAGCTCCAGGTGAGGCAGAAGGGCTGGCTTATCTGGGTGCATGGGGAGGCGAGAAGAGCTCTGCCAGGATCTGGCTGGGGTGAGCTGAGAGCTTGTGGTATTGCCCTGCTCCAGCAAGAATGCTGTGAAGGGACTAGAAGGAAGGCTTGGAGAGAGTGGGAGGAGGAAGCCCAGCCTGGCTCCAGGTTTCCCAGTCTGGGAGAAGGAGTTGTTGAGTTTGAGGTGCTCATGGGTCATCAGGGTGGGGTCCAGAGACTGCTGCAGATGAGGATTTTGTTCTCTCCAGTCTGACCCAGAGAGGAGGGTTGAGAGACTGGTGACGCCCAGGGCATGAGCTTGCCTGGAGGTGCTGGCTGTGGGGGCGAGGGCTCCAGGGCAGCAGAGCAGAAGCCATGCTCGGGTGGTAGAAGGAAACCAGGACGACGTGCCCTGGGAGGTAAAGGGTTTCCAAACAGCCCGTTATGCATGGCAGCAGGGGAAGCCGGAGGACCTTGGCACCCCAGTGATTTCATCATTGTGCCCTCAGGGATGGGTGGCCAGAACCATTGCTGAGGGAGGCAGGGTGAGTGGGAAGTGAGGAAGCAGGGTCAGGCCTTGGACCAGGCTAGCAAGAGAAGGGCCTCTGAGAGTGAGTTTCTGTTCCCAGAGATGAAGGGCTCTGAAAGGGGCGGGCCGTCCATTAGTCACCAGTAGCCTGGGCTCTGTCCCCCTCGCCTCTGCACCTCAGCCTCTCACCCCTCCACAGAAGCTGACCGTGGACCTGACCGCCATCCTGGCCCTGCTGAAGAGCCTCCAGCAGAGCCTCCAGGAGAGCCTGCAGCAGGGGGCACACTCAGTCGGCTCCAGCCGCCTCTACGACCTCTACTGGCAGGCCATGAAGTTCCTGGGAGTCCAGTACGGCCAGGGAGGAGCTCCCACACCTCAGGAGGGCGGCTTGGGTCCCATACGTCCTTGGGAGTGAGGGTCACTCCTGCCCTTGCTGCTCTCACCCTGCTTACTTCTTCCCAGGCGCCCCAAGTCTGAGAAGAAGGATGCCAAGGAAACCCCCAGTGACCCCCAGAGTCCTGTTAGCATGAAGCGGAAGAAGAAGGGATTCTTGCCAGAGACCAAGAAGCGCAAGAAACGCAAGCCGGAAGCCACCACAGAGCAAGATGCCAAGCCAGTGGCCACCAGTGAAAACCAGCCCCCCAGCTCAGGCAAGAGGAGGAGGCACCGGAAGAGGGCCAAGGCCTCAGCCCAGTCCCAGGCAGATGGAAAGCCTGCCGCCAAGAGTCCTACCGCCAACACCCCCAGCACAGGCCCCAGCACTTCTGCCGCCCCCACTGAGAGCCCTAGTGCCCCTGCCAAGACTCCAAAGCTTCAGAAGAAACAGCAGAAGCTATCCCAGAGGAATGGCACCCCTGCCACAGAGCCTGCTGGTAAGAAGCCTCAGAAGGGGGCCTCAGCCAAGTCACTAGAGCCCACCCCGCCACGGAAAAAGACAAGGCTGTCCATGGCCAATGGGAGCCCCAGCCTTCTCCGGAGTGGGACCAAGAAGAAGGTGCACCTGAAGACAGGGGATATGCCCTAACCACATGCCCTGCTGCCCAGCGCCTGCCTCCACTAGATTAGAGACTCCTATTTTTTTCACCATAATTTTAATAAACACATCGAAATCTATGCTATCATTCCCTTTTGGTACTAAGGGAGGGGTCTCTGTCAGCCTGGAGGTCCTGCATCTGTTCTCTGGGGCTCTGATATCCCTGGATGGCCCAAGCAGTTAAACATTCAGCTGCTAACCAAAAGATTGTGGAGGTTCAGTTCTACCTTGAGTTACCTCAGAAGAAAGGCAATTTGCTTCTGAAAACATCAGGCATTGAAAGATGGAGCCCAGTTCTACCCTGATACACAGGAGGGTATCGTGAGTCAGAACCTACGGTATCTGGTTCTGCAAGACTAGGACTTTGGCTCCCCATTCTGTGGGCCCAGAACCCAGGCTTGCACACAAGTCATCATTGGAGGTATGTAGCTGCCTTGTGGCAGTGTGGACCACTCATAATCCCCACCCCTGAGGCTCCCCTAGGCTGTTCAGAAGCCAGCAGGGTGTGATTTAAATAGGTTTATTCATTTACAAGAGGAATATATTTGGCTTTTCTTAAGACTCTGAGATTCACAATCAGCAGCTCTAAAAAATAAAGGAGCAGTTTGGCTTCCGGAAGGAAGAGGCAGCACTAGGACCTGGTTCTTGTACAACAAGAAAACATTGCTGGGGCCCCAGCCAGGGTAGCGGCAGAGGTGGAGGCCAGGCTGGGACCTGGGGGATACCACCCCCTTGCCAGGGCCCCCAGAGTGCCCCAGGGCTTAGAGGGGAGTGGGAATTCTAGCTCACACCACTGAAGCTAGGGCCAGCTGGTAGGTAACTAAGGGCTGAAGAGAGCATTGTCCAAGCTGGCTCTTGGGGTGTCTTACTGGCAATAAGGGGTGCCCTGACCATAAGCCCCCTAGGTTCCAGCAGATGTGCAGGGAACAAGGGGCGGGGGAATAGGCTTCACCATGGAGGCTGGAGGTCCCTGGGAAGTTGACCACAGCACAGGAGGGGTGTGTGCCAGTGAGTGGGTGATAAGCTGAGTGAAAACCTGGCCCACCAGGGGGAGTTGTGGAGCAGACATTGTGGAGGCAGCAGCCAAGGCGTGTTGAGGTGGTCCTGATACAGCCCCATCGGCGGTGAGTCTCCACCTCCACCAAGCTCATCACTGGGGCACAAAGTTTGATGGATGGCTGCTTCCTTTGGCCGCCAGCGACCTGGCTACTGCCCCATGAATTCTGGGAATGGTCCCTTGGGCTCTGCCACTGGAAAAACCCAGCCTAGCCTGGGGAGGGAGAGGGCTAGGAGGGAGAAGTGGACAGAAGTGCTCTAGGGAGTCCTGCAGAGGTGGATAGACCCACACACACACACCCCCAAAGAATAGCCTGGCTGTCACCTTGAGCCCAGGTACAGAGGTGATGTGTCGCTGCCACCAGGGCCTTCACCCCTGGCGATGCCAACTCTGTCCAAGGATGGTGCCCACCTGGGAGACCACCAGACTGGTGACCAGTGTTCTCCAGAGTGAGCTGGTGGGTATGGAGACAGCCCAGTGACCTGGGTGCCCAGCTCTGCTCACTAGACGGAGTCCGACACCCCCACAGTGGTGAGCCTCAGAGCCTGCACCACCTCCCCGAGGCCTGGGCCATGTCTTCTCTGTATGGTCCAGAGGTTGTTGGGTCTTCAAGCTGCGTGGGAAAGTCCAGCCCTCTGGGCCCCTGGTCCAGGCAGGGCAGGGACGTGCCCAAGATGACATACGTCGGTGACAGGCCAGACAGTCCCGATACCACCATTTGAGGTTGTCGTCTCCCTTGGCCCCAGGGGCCCTGTAGCCCAAATCCAGGGCTAGGCATCTGTCCGACTGTGTGACTCCAGCAAGTGCAGCCTTCCAGGTTAACCGAGGACACTGCGTCTTCTCGGAGCCAGAGCCACTCCGCAGTCCCAGACCAGAGAGGGTTGGTGCTCAGCCTTGGGTCACCCAGAAAGCTCTGGGACAGCCCAGAAGGGTCCGGATGCTGGAGGACACCTCCTAGACTACGTAGGAGTCTGGGTTCTTCATTGTCCCAACGGCATCTGGGAGGAGGGGTCAGAGGTCAGAGGTGGGGTCTTTGGGAAGGACCATTCCAGGGCTTTGCTCCGGCATTTTCCATAGTTTTTGAGGCAGGGAAGGGAAGTGAGCAAATAGCTAACTGGGATCTTGTGCTGCTAGAAGCCAGTAGCCCCAAGAGGTCAGAAAACCAGAGTCGGCCCTGGGCCGTCTAGGGGAACAGAAGGGCTCCTTTCTGGTCCTCCCTAAGCAAGGTGTTCCTGGCCTGTCCTGGGCCCCGAGTCGTTGTAGGGAAAGAAGAGGGACCTGAGCCACGAAGAAGGAGCCTGCTTTCCCTCCCTAGGTGATGAGTTCTGGAGGAAGGGTCAGCCACAGAGCTGGTGGGATGTGCTTAGAGCGGGTGACACCACTTCCAGAGTAAGTCCCACAGCTCAGTGACACTCTGCTCTAACAGCATCCTACCCCTCCCACCAAAAAACAAACCCACTGCTATCCAATAGAGAGGGTCCCTGAGACGAAATCTTTATGGGAAACAGAAAGTGTCGCCTGTCTCCCATGGAGCAGCTGGTGGGGTTGGACCACTAACTTTGCGATTAGCTGTCCAGTGCTTCTACAATGCCACTAGGAGGTAGAAATGATTCATGTGCTTGCTGCTAACTGAAAGGCTGAGGTTCAAGTCCCTCTGTGGCACTTGAAAGAAAGGCCTGGTGATCCACTTCCAAAAAGTCACCCATGAAAAACCCTACTGAACATACTTCTACTCTGACAGAAATGGCATTCTCATGAGTCAGAATCTGCTAAATGCCATCGAGTTGGTTCCAACCCATAGCGACCCTGTTTAGGGTTTCTGAGGAAAGGCTGGTGAGCTCAAACCACTGACCTTGTGGTTCAAACCAGCTGTGCAGTCCAGCGCATTAAACCACAGTGCCACAGCAGGACTCCAAAAATAAAAATATGGAACACTTCACGAATTTGCATGTCACCCTTGCACAATCAGAATCAACTAGATGGCAGCTGGCTCAGGTTTTGGACCCCTCCATAAGGTCTGTCCCTCTGCACCAGGGGCCTCCCTGGCCCACACTCACCGCCTCAGACCTTCACAGATGCGGGCGGCATCATCAGTTGGTTCACCCTGGGGGAGAGACGGGCGGGGGTCAGGGTGGCAGGTCAGCGAGGGCCGGGCCCAGGCACTGCTGTGGTATGTCGCGTCTCGGGGGCCTGCTGACCGGAAGTTCTGGGCAGGGACCTCGTCAGCCCCAGGGGGAGATGGGAGAGCCCAGGGGTTGGGAGAGACAGAAAGAGAGGAGTAAAAAGGAAAGGAGAAAGAAGTCAGAAAATGAGAGAAAAAGAAAGGGGAGGGGCCCCTACTATGAAGCTATGACAACCACTGATTGTTAAGTGCCATCAAGTCGGTTCCAACTCATAAAGACCCTGTCTGGGGTTTCCAAGGAGCAGTTGGTGGGTTTGAACTGCCGACCTTGTGGTTAGCAGGCCGGTGTTGATTCTACAGCACCACACCAGGACTCCATGCCAACCACTAGCTCTACAGAAACTTTACCACAACAGCCTTCTATACACCAGGCTGATTGTGGGGCTGTGGCTGGGGGCAGTCTCACAAGGCCTGGAAGGCTTGGGATGTAGTCTGTGGCAAAGGTGGGGCCCCATTCCCCACCAGCAAGGTTACCCACACCAGCCTAGAGTAAATCACTTTAATGCCCCCCAATCCACCCCAGGGGACAGAATGCAACAGGTCCAGCCCCGCCCCCACTCACTGCTGCTCAGCCTTGGCACGGTCACTGAGGAAGAAGAGGGCCGTGGCGAGGAAGAACATGCCACCCAGGACCACGACGAAGGGGCAGAGCATGAGGGCGTACCCCAGGCTCAGAAACTCCCAGAGTGGGGAGTCCTTGGTGCTCTGACGGATCAGGTCCGAGATCTGCAGGGTTAGGAGGATGTGTCAGGCAGAGTCTCCACCTAAAGTCCCCCCACTGCCCAGGCCAGCCCCACTCCCTGGATACTCACAAAGCCAATGAGGTAGGGGCTTCCAGCATCCCCCAGCAGGTGGGAGGTGAAGCTCTGCAGGGCTACAGCAGTGGCCCGGCGGGTGGGGATGACCACATACTGTGGAAGAGGTGGTTAGGTCAGCGGCCAGTGGAGCCAGGTCAACCCACCTGGCCTCATCCACACCCTCAGACCCACTCGTGCCTTGTCTTGACACCTCTCTCTCCTGGGTTCTCACTTTACTTTTACTGTCCACACTCTCCATTAGCCCCTCCTCCCCAGAGCCATATCTCACCCACTGGCAGCTTCAGTTACCACCTCCAGGCCTCAGGCCCAGAGCCTTGGTGCCTCCTGAACACTTCCACACAGACCACCGGCCCCAAGCCAACTCCTCATGGGTCCCACCCCTGCAGCTCACAGGTGGAAACCTTTACTGCCCTTGCCCCCAAGCCAGCCAAGGGGAAAACAATTTGGGTTCACTCTGACACCTGTCAGTGCAGGCCTTTAGTGGGGGCTCTTTGAAACTTGGGGTGCCTGTGCCTTCAAGCATGGGTAGAACTACCTCCCCAACCGACTCCATCCTCCCCTTGTTCTGCACTTGGCTCTTGGGGGCTGCTCACAACTCATGGCCCAAGTTCCAGATGAACCAGACATGGAGAACAGCAGATCTAGGGCTAGAAGGCTGCCTCTGAGCAGCTTGTCTTCTGCCCATCTGGTCCCCGCTCCAGGAAGACCAGGATTGGAGCCATGAAGTTCCTGCCTGGAAGACCTTCCTCTTGAATCCATGAGTGCCGCCGCCCTCTCAGAACACCAAGAGCTACTGGACCCCAGAAGAGCAGGTCCCCCAAGCACCCTCATCAGACCAAGCCGACTCTGACCCAGGACTGCAGTTCCAGAGCTGAGCAGCCACATTCAGACTCAAGGGGCTGGTGACAAAGGAGCCAGCCCCCTTGCCCTTTGCTTCAGCTGCCTCATTTGTTCAGAGACCCCCCCCAAGCCTGCCGGGGGGCCCCGATTTTTATGACCAGTCAGAATAGCCACCCCCCAAAGGCACCCTGGTGGCTGTGGGGAAGAGACCTGGATCAGATGAAATGACGTGGCCCCATTTCCAGCAATAATTAGTCATTTGGATGTGACACTTAATAAAATGGGACATGATTTCCCTGGGACCCAGACCCTGTCAGCTGCTGGAGGCAGGGCACTGGATTCAGATGGCTCGATGTGCAGTGATCCCTGCCCCCGCTGTCACCTCTCCTGACGTCACCTCTCCTGACCCTTTGCTGCGCACAGAGCGGAGTCAAATCCCCCACCCCCACCCATGGGCTGGTGGGGAAAAGAGGCGGCTCAGGGAAACCGGGGTGCGGACAGCAGATTCTTGGAGTGGAGGACTGAGTAGCAGATGCCCCTCTTCTGGGTCATCAGATATCGTAACACCAGACCTGAGCATCTTTAGGGGCCTCCTAGGAAGGCGCCCTTTCTCCCCTTGGCTGCTCCCACTTCCCACCTGTAAGCACTTGTACTTGCCTCTCCTGACCCTGACTTGGAAGATCCCAAGGACAGGACCAG